TTTTTTATTTTCATTTCTTTTTACATTTGGTAATTGTGTGTGTGTGTGTGTGTGTGTGTGTGTGTGTGTGTGTGCGCGCGCGCGCGCGTATGTAAGAGATATCTGTATATAAACATGGTGTTTCACTCTGGAGTGGAATATTTATTTTTCCAGTAATTTTATAATATGATAAATTTCACAACATCTTGATCTCAGATATTTAATCTATAAAATCCAAATAATGTACCCTAACTTAGAAGTATCTATGAATATTAAATTTATATGAAGTTCTTAATGAGTTCTGTGGCACATAGAAGATGGTCAACAACTTGTAACCACTTTTCACATCCTATATTTGGAACAAGATCAATTCAGTAAGATCTTAAATGTCTGGGAACCATTATATTTGTATGAATTATATATTTTTTTCTTTCTTATGGCCAATTAATCCTTATATATAACAATTAATCCTTATAAGATACACCTAGGTTTAAGTTTCCAAGCAAGTAGAGTCACTTACCTATGAATACTTTCTCTCCACTCTCATGCTCAGATTTACACACACTCTCACAACTTCACTCATGCATATATAGATGCTATACATTGATACTAACAAAGGCCTTTAGAGGCAATAAGTCCTAAATAGCTTTGGTGTTCCTCTACACAAATTTTAGAAGAATTTAAAAAGATAAACCCCTAAACAGGTGAAAGGAAGTTTGAGAAAGTTCTTGTTTTCCTGTGTGGAAGATTTGTTTTAAAAATACCTAATATAATTTAGATTTCACGCAGAAGCATTTGGTGCATTATGTCTCTGTTCATCGAAATGTGCATATTTATTTTGGCTTTTGACTGATCTGGTGCTTCTTTTAGGCACTTGCTGGTGCTCTGTATGTATGAGTTCTCGTTTTCATTGGTCAGCCTTTATGAGGGTGAGAAGAGAGCATGAAAAGCGAGGATACTGTGAGCCTGCACCAGGATAATTATTTTCAAGTTCTGCCTTCCTAAATTATTTCTCTGTGCATATTATCAAGCTTTCTCACCTGTTAGAATGTCAATTTCTCATTATAAAGTTTGGGTGAGATAAAAGATTGCTCAAAGACTATTGTAGTTTTAAAAACTGCTACTTTTGTAAGTTTAAACCAGTTTAAATTAATGACTCAGGAGTTATGCAGCTCTCAGAACCCACAAAGCTAACTGACCTGTATTCAAGTTCTTTTCTGATAGATGGAAAATCAGTAAGTCTTTGCAGTAGATTTTGTTTCATGAGCACTTGCCAACGGATTTTGTGGCCCATTTGCTCAACTCTGTAGGAGTTGGTATTCCAGTTTACAAGTGAGGACTTTGAAACTTGAACAAATGAAATAATTTTTATTATTATTATTTTTTGGCTTTTTTGAGACAGGGCCTCACTACATAGTGGAGACTGACCTAGAACTTACTATGTAGCCCAGGCTGGTTTTGAACTCACAGCAGTCCTCCTGCCTCAGCCTCCCGAGTGCTGGGATTACAGGCATGTCAAATAATTTTTTAATGATGGAAACTCACAGAAGGAACTTGCTTTAAATCTAGGTCTGGCCATAAGGTGGTAGATTATCTCAGTTTGCCAAGATAGAGAAGTTTTCCCTTGTGTGTGACTTTCAGGGCTACTGTTCAGGCAGGTCCACACAAACCAAGATGTTCACATTATTTTCTGGCTCTTAATAACTGATCTCTTTATGGTGATGCTATTTTATTTCTTGAAATCTGTTTGAGGTGTGGTGTGGTTAATGGAAAGGCACCTAATCTGGGGATTAGTGAGAATCCATAAATATTATATTTAATCAAACTCTTGTTGATCACCTAAGTACATTCTTTCTGGGTTTCAGTTCTATAAAATGAGAAACACAGTGTGTGTATTTCAAGAAAACACAGCTCTCTTCTCATTCTGAATTTCTTAGTAATCTCCAGGGAGAAAAAAATGACAGAGCACAGAGGAGTCATTCACTTGAGATTTTTCACACTTCCTGTTGCCCAGCCAAGCATTTCAGGTCATGGACTTAACCAGACACAAGCAGACCCCAGGGAGGCTTTTTTTGTTCTGCTATAAATGTTGAGGATCAAACCCTGGGTCCTGTGTACGTTAGGAAAGTGCCTGGTCACTGAGATACATTTGAGTTCTGCCAAGGGTCTCTTGGTGGGCAGATTTACAGAGTTTAGAGCAGGGAGTAGATGGAGGCTGGCAGTGGGGTTCTGCAGACGATGTGGCTTTGTTGTTGTTTCTCCCCTTAGTGAATGAACACCTGGCTCTCCTCCCTTCCACCAAAGATACACTGAGGAGGTAAGTTGAGATTTCAGCTCTTCCCTCATTAGAACCCAATGAATATGTGCCCGGGGTACAGAGATTTAAGTCTACTATGTTGGGCTTCTCATTTCCATCCGCATAGTCACCACCCCATTAGCTTCTCTGCATGGATCCTGGCGTTTCCAGACCTGACTCAGAGAAGCAGCTCTGCTTTTGTTGGGTAGGAATGCTTCAGTACCATTAACCGAGGCCCCAGTATTCTCCTTAGACGGTGGGTAAAATGCCAAAAGAAGACAGTTTTTGATTGGGAAACTGAATGTAGGAAGACGGTTTGGCGACCGGATCAGGGAACCTCGGCTTCTGTATATTGCTGTTCATCACCTCATTTTTGGTGGCCATTTTTATTCCGTAGGTATCTTGTGCATACGATCTGAATATGCACTTGGAATGTTTAACTGTGTATTCATTTCTTCTATTTTATAAATGGGAAAATAAGATATGAAAAAGTTAATTAAATTCATAGCTGGTATGAAGCAAAAGTGAGATAAACTCTCAGTTATTAGATGGTAGGGGAGCAGTTTTACCTACTTAAATTATTTTAGATCTTAAAATATACATTGTTATATCTTCTTCCTAAAATCGTTTATGTAATAAGTATTTTAAAAATTAAAATTATTATTGTAGGTCTTAGTCTGGGATTTTATATGCAGTTTGATTGCCAAAGAATTGAGGATAAGAAGAGAAGAAACACAATTTTTTTTTTAATTTTCAGCAAGGTCTAGCTTTGCAGTTCAGGCTGGCCTTGAACTCACTGTGTGGTCCAGACTGGCCTGGAACTCTTGCTGATCCTCTTGCCTTAATCTCCTGAGTGCTGGGATTACAGGCATGAGCCACAACACCAGGAAAGAAACATAATTACAGGAGCTCCTAATTTAGTATGAGAAAGACACTATTTAAATAACCAAATAAATATATAATAAGTCACAAAAATTCTAATATGTTACAAAAGCAATGAAGAAAAGTTGTGTAAGAATATACAGCAGGGATACAAGCGTGAGAAGTAATCAATGTAACTGGAACAGGACAAGTTCCTGGGTAGTGTTTCGGCTGCTGTATGCTAAGGTAAAGATTTGTCTTTTTACTTAAAATTTTATTTAAAAAGGTAAGTTAAGCCACTAAAAGACTTTTAGTAAAAGTGTTATACCCTTTTATTTGTATTGTCATTTATTATTTTGCATCTTCGTCTAGAATGGGGTAGAAAGAGTCACGGCATTAAGCCAGGTGGTCAATAAGGGAGGTTCTCCTAGCACACCAGTTAAATGTCTTGAGGAAGTAGTTACCACTGGGAAGAGTTGAAGGAGAAAAGCTAGGGTTGCATATGTAGCGGAAAAGTTGCAATAGATTAGTTAAACCTGTGAATGCTGCCTAGACTTTTCTCACCAGAGTATATGGATAGATGGAGAAGAGTGTAACGGAAGGATAAATCTTGGAGAGGACCCAAGTGTGGGGATGGACAAAAGTTCCACTTTACCTCTGTTGTGTTTTATACACCAACAAACTGTTGCACCTAACTGGGAAATGATGCACGAATCAGTAGCTGGAAGAGAAGCCCAGAGACATATGTTGGGAATCATTGCTATACAGAAGATCAACGAGGTAGATATTATACCTAGAAAATAATTTTGAGAATATTAATGTTGGGAAGGAGTAGAGAAATGAATGCGCCCCTGAAAGACATGAAAGAATGATGAATTTGTTATTCTGTGTCTTTTTTAAATGACCAAAGCTCCTGAACTTGATCTTTAGTGAAGAATTTGGTGGGAGTGTGGGACATATTTGAATGTCGATAGCAGTGATCTAAATACCTGAGTCTCAAATTTGCCTGCTTTCTCAGAACTGGTTGCTAGATCACAAAAGTACTGATCCCTCAGCTATATCTACAGAGATTCAGGTATAATCAGTGTGGGTGTGAGCAAAGGGCTTTTTTGAAAGTCCTCAAGTGAAGGTAACGTATAGTACACTTTAAAGATCTTTTATTGAAAGAGATGGTGGTGGAGAGGAAGTGGAAAGACAGAGAGGTGGTGGGGGAGACAGAGAAACAGAGAGACAGAGAGACATACAGACAGAGATATCTAGGCAAGGAAACGGTAATCAGAAGTGGAGGAGTGGCGAGGTTGTAGACAAAGGGTGAATAAGAAAGGGGTTCGATCAATTCACGAGAAGATGAGGAACTGTTGTGGTGTCTGAGTAGGGGAAAGTGAGCAGACACAATCTAGAATACAGCCAGCAAATACTATCACTTGCATCCAAGAGAATAAATCGGTAGACAGAGAGTACTAAAAAAAAAGACTTCATTAGGACTTACTGTATCTCACTTACTGATGAAGGTGATGGCTAAGCACTCGTGGAAAGAAAGAACAAAGTTGTTTTCCATCAGTAGTGAGAGATTTAAACTCTATTAAGAATATCACACAAGAAGAAAATGTTGGCATCCCCCCAAACGTCAAATCGTTACTTTTGGGAGAGAGCCAATGCCCCTGGCAGATACGGGAATATTGCAGGGCAGTAGAAGGTCTGATATGAAATCTGCTCCTTCCTAACCTTTTTGGTCTTTGGTATTTGAATCTCAGCATCATTGTCTCTTCTACCCTGTGACACTGACTGCCCGTGATCGTCACTTCTTCCACTGTCTGATCTTAATTCATTCCAGTTGTTATTTCCCTACGAGCGTAAGACCCTCATGACAAGCTTTGGGACTAACATCTCAAGTGCTGCTAGCATCACACTAAAGGGCTTTCCAGAGTTGGAAAGCTTGGAGCACTGGCTGGCTGCCCTCCTCCTGCTGCTTTATGCTTTTTCCATCCTAGGCAATACCCTCATTCTTGTCATCATAAAGGAGGAGCAGAGCCTGCACCAACCAATGTACTACTTCTTGTCACTTTTGTCTATCAATGACCTGGGGGTGTCCTTTTCTACACTGCCCACTGTCCTGGCTTCCATGTGTTTTCATGCTCCAGAGACTGCTTTGGATGCCTGCTTGGCCCAGATGTTCTTCATCCACTGTTCCTCCTGGACAGAATCTGGGATCTTGCTGGCCATGAGTTTCGACCGCTATGTGGCTATCTGTAATCCACTGCGCTACTCCTCAGTGCTCACAAATGCCCGTGTGGCCCACATGGGTGTATCCATCATTATCCGCAGCTTCTGCATGGTCTTCCCACTTCCCTTGCTCCTAAAGCGATTGTCCTTCTGTAAGGCCAACGTGCTGACTCATTCCTACTGCCTGCACCCAGACTTGATCCGCTTGCCTTGTGGAGATACTACCATCAACAGCATGTACGGGCTTTTCATTGTCATCGCTACCTTTGGGGTGGATTCTGTGCTCATCTTCCTCTCTTATGTCCTCATTCTCCGATCTGTGCTGGCCATAGCCTCCCAAGAGGAAAGGCTTAAGACACTCAACACATGTGTGTCACATATCTGCGCTGTACTTATCTTCTATGTGCCCTTGGTGAGTGGGTCGGTGGTACATCGATTTGGGAAGCATGCTTCTGAGTATGTGCACAAGTTTATATCCCTGGTCTACCTCTTCGTGCCTCCAGTGCTCAACCCAATTATCTATTCCATCAAGACTAAAGAGATTCGTAGGAGATTACAGAAGATAATTGTGGGCCCTAAGTTCTGATCAGCTGAAAAGCTGCTGAAAAGCTTCATACATTAGAAGTTTTTTTTTTTAATTGCTAATGTTTGGTTGAATCAATTAGACCTTCAGAGGCTTAAATCTTTTTCTATACAAAGATCTGTGTTTGGGTGTCCAGCACATGATACAGCCTGCCTACAACTTGTAATTTAAAATACCAGGTTTCCTTTCATTGTAATTAATCATGCCATAGGTTGCCACAAATAAATTTTCTTAGATCCAACAAGGAAAAATATTTTGAATAGATCCTTTCCCCCGCCAAATACTGCCAATATCTGTGCTTTCAAGTAAATCTCAAAAATGATTATGTGTGAGTCTGAATGTGTTTCTGCTTTTCAATTAGAAACTGTATTGTTGAAGTCAGTATATGCAACTCAGTTTCCACTATGCAGTTGAAAGTCCACATTGCAGGCACGAGGATGGAAGAAAAAGTGTAATATTTTATATTTCTAACATTCACTTCAACGTGTTAGGTTGTTTGAGATTATTAGTATCACTCAAGAATTGTTAAATACAGCTTGCATATCTTTAAACATTTAAAATTAAGGATTTACAATAAGTTTATACTTTTGAAATAATTAAGAATGCACTCATATTCTATCAAATACAACAAATTCTTGACACACTTACTATATATATATATATGTGTGTGTTTTGGAAGTTAAAAAAGAAGGAGAAATATTGTGTGAAAAGTCCTAGGCAGTCTCCCTCAGGTATGCTCACAGGGAACATTAATTTCCTCTGGGGAGCGAGTAAGCACACAGAGCAGAACGTGCACAGATGCTGGTGACCGATGGAGGGTCAAGTCCACTGTGGTGGCAGCAGCAGCTCGATCCCACCATCCGATGGAATCTGGACTTGTGTCCTACAGTGAGCAGCCCTGCCAAGAGACTTTAGCACATGGCAGAGCAGAATCCAGTAGCTGAATAATGTCAGGAAATCCACAGCAAATAAGAGCCGCGAAGAGGGAGTGATCACCTGGAATCCACTTAAGCAAATGTAACTCAGATTGCAGAGACAGTTAGACACTTCCAAAGGTAAGCACAGTGGTATGGACCTTTCACTGGACAGTGACGGACCAGGGTATCCACCATCCCTGAGGTATAGTTGGGGAAAGGAGGGAGACACACTGAGAAAATGTTAATGTTTAACAACATCCCTTTACATTTTCTTCCTCATAAGATCACAAGGTATTGTTTTCTTAAATAAAATCATTTTTACCCAGTAGCAAGATCATGGCCTAAACATAAGAGAAGATACATTTGAATTGTCTCCAAATACCTCTTGAATGCCAGATCGAACAACCAAGGAAGAAGAAACAAAGAAGCAAAGAAAACCGACTGACATGGTCAATGTAATCAGGTAACAGGGAAATTCTACAAATCCTTTTCCCTTGTGGAGAGGACCTTTTCTTCAGCAGAAGTCTGGATGGATGACTTTGAGACTGATTGCCAAGTTAGGAACAACTAGTGCAGGCTTCAAGTGCTCACAGAATGAGAGGATTAAGCAATATTGTTAAAGTCCTAAGCACTTTCAAATTTCAGCAATGTTGAACGACTGAGCTCTTCAAAAGAATGTAGCATCAGACTGAAGGAAACCGCAGTAAGCCAATAAGGATCACTTGTGTGAGAGAGAAAGGGCAACCAGATAGAAGGAGAAAGGGTTAGAAAGAGTAGATAAAGAAAGTGCAGCCGGAGTTAAATATAACTTTTCAAGTTGAGAATATCACTTGGAAGCAAAATGTGTAGATTTCCTAGCTCAAACAGACCGCGGGGGGGGGCGCGTCAAAACATCCTCCAGACCCGGTTCGGGATAGACAGCTCCAGAGAGACAGGCAGCTTGGAGCTGTTTGCACTACAGAGCAAAAGCGAAAACAAAGCCACTGAAGCTCTCCTTCCACCCCTTCTATTCCTGAGAAGCCTCCTTATTGCTCTGGGAAACCACTCTCATCCATAATGTGGAGTCAAGGAAGGGAAATAAGATAATTTCCGTGCACAGTTATGAGATCAAATGAAAGAAAACACGAAAGGCAAAGATAAACCACTGGTTCTCAGAGGCGCACTGAGAACAGGATTCTTCCTTTCGTATACTGAAATTTCTTTCTATGTTCTAACATTTCATTATGTGTACTCAAAGTTAGAAACCGAGTCAGTCTATGCAACTCAATCTCAACTAACACATTGAACATTCACATTGCGGGCACAAAGATGGAGTAGAAAGTGCTTGTCTAACACAGAGGGATATTGCTAGCATTCACTGCAACATGTACATAATCTGACTTACTGCTTCCTAATAAACATGGACAATTCCCTACTTACACAATTTTTAAAAATTAATTTTATTGGTACATTTTAGGTGTAGAATATGCTGACATGCATCATTGGAAATTTGTACCTTTGCATAATAAACCTTGGTTCTTATTTTCTTCCCCATTGCCCTGCCCTCCCTTCAACCCCTCCAATCTTCCCTATTTACAGAGAACATATCTCCATTTTTTCCTTTTCTCATATTTATTCCTTTCCCCTGCCCCCTCACTTCCCCTTCATCTTTGTACCTTGTCTTCCTAATTCACATTATCTATTATACATTTTGATGTTTATTTACTATTACATGAAATAAATAGGACACACATGTGTAACACAACTTTTTAAAAGGCATTTTCTTTGAATTATATCTTTCAAATTAGGTACACATTTTATTTTATATTTATCTTTTAAAATTATGAATTGTTCATATGTAAGTATTAAACATGGTACATTTACTTCTAAGTAAATTTAAAACCTGTTCAGAATATTTTTGAGTGCACTGAGGTTTGAGAGGTTTCATGATAAAATTATTTTGAAAATAAATGTATACCTATTTAAAAATAAGACTAAATTATGGTCTCCAGGTGCATCCATTTTCCTACAAATGACTCCCGTTTACCTTTCTTTATGACCGAGCAGTACTTCACCATGTGTCCACACTGTATTTCTTTATCTATTCACCTGATGAACACATAGACTGCTTCCAAGTTTCATTCCACACCTGGGTATGCATGGACGCACCTTGAGACATAACGCTAAGTGGAATGAATCAGACAGACAAGTTTAAATGGTGCATGGTTTCTCTGATGTGAGAGATCCAATTTGTAAATAAAGAGCAAAATAAGAGATAATAGGAAGTAGGAAGGCAGATCTTTCTCAGACAGGAAGGGGATCAAGAGACCGAGGGTGAGAGAAGAGAGGGAAAATGGACGAAAAGGGAATTAGGATGTGTTACGTGCATGGAACCAGCTCCACAAAAGAAATGCAAACAGTACATATGCAAACATGTGCTTGTACAAAATAGAGCTAAGTGGTCCAGTTTATATTTGAATTGTACCCAATACAACTTTCCATTTATAATCATGCACTTTTATTTTTACATTATTTGTAAAAATGTTCTTATACATGTTTGGCCTCTAAATCCTGAATGGTATTTCCTCTTGAGTGGAAGAAAAAAAATCTCCATTCTTTGTTGAATAGTCGATATGTGAAATAATTTCAATCGAGTGCCTATATTCCAGCTATACAAGGTTTTGAATATGTCTGTTTAGCAGGAATTTTCAGTTTATTTTACTTACCTTTTCTAGATTTTAAAAAATATGTTTTTGAAGTTGGTGAGCCTCATATTTTCTTGTTAAATTCACAGGACAGATTTTTCTATTATATTATTTTTCCAAGTACTGGATAAGACACTTGGCCTGCTGTCAATTTCTAACCTGCTCAACAGTTATGGAAGGATTTCTCTCAGTCCTATTTATTGTATTTGGCTATACAGGAAGATAAAGGAGTGACTCTCAGTTTTATTTATTTATATTCTGTAGAAATATGAATTGCCACATGGGAAGTTTATTTCTCCCAGCTTCTGTTTCCTTTTTTTTTCTTTTTCTCATTGAGTATATTGGTATATTTTAGGTATACAGTACAGTTACATTCATCATTGGGATCTTGTACCTTTACATGACAGATCTTGGTTCTCATTTTTCCCCCGTGTCCCTGCCCTCCCTTCACCCCCTCCTCCCTTTCCTATTTACAAAACCTTTTTTTCCATTTTTTCATGTTTTTTTCTTTTCCCTTATTTCCTTTCCCCTACCCTTCCTACTTTCCCATACCTTTAGCCCTTTTCTTCCTATTTCATATTGTCAATTATATCATTAGGATCTTATGTACTATTATAGTTTTTCACACCAGCCCATCAGTTGGAGACTGGATAAAGGATATGTGGTTGTTCTATAAAATGGGATCTTGTACCTTTACATGACAGGTCTTGGTTCTCATTTTTCCCCCTTGTCCCTGCCCTCCCTTCATCCCCCCTTCCCTATTTACTAAAACTTTATGTCCATTTTTTTCATTTTCTCATATTTTCTCTTTTCCCTTATTTCCTTTCCCCTATCCTTCCCACTTCCCCTACACCTTTAGCCCCTTTCTCCCTATTACACATGGTCAATTTTACCATTAGGATCTTATTTACATTTATAGTTTTCACACCAGAGAAACTATTCGGTATTTACAGGTGTGACTTATTTATTTCACTTAAGAGTATATCTTCAATATGCATCCATTTTCCTATGAATGACTAATTTCTCATTCTTTATGGCTGAGTAGTATTCCATTTTAAAGCAAAACCACATCTTCTTTATCCAGTCTTCAAATGATGGGCAAATGGGCTGTTTCCAAGTTTTAGCTGTTACAAACTGCGCTGCTATAATCATGGGTGTGCATATATCACTGTGGTATGATTCTTTTAATTCTTTTGGAAAGATACCCAGCAGAGGGATGGCTGGGTCAAATGGAACCTTTCTGTTTCCTTTGTGAAATAGAAAATCAGCCTTTATTCTGCCCTTGTTCTATTCAGGTGGACTTTTGCTACACTTCTACCACTAATGCCCATCCATTACCACAGCTATTGTAAGAACCACACCATCTCTGTCTCTCATATGTGGAAGAATAAATTGACCTGAATGTGGAACAGTGATTACTAAACACTGGGAGGGGAGAGGGTGGATAGAAAGACACTGGATTTGATTAATGCACTCTGAATATATGTGTTGAAATATTATCATGAACTCCATATCATATACAATTAATACATGTTTACAAAAAAGAAAAGAAAAAAAAAGCGAAAAGGAAAAAAGGAGTGCATAAGTAACAAACAAATCCAGGGAGATGTTATCATACTATATCTTTTCCCCTCATCTCTTCAGAGGGATTTTTCTCACAATTCCTAATGACTCAATGCCACAATTGTGAGTCTCACCACTACGTTTGTACACTGTAGGTTTCAATAAATATTGCTGAATAAATAAATAGATAAATAAATGTGCTGCTATCCTTTTGTTTTTTTCATAAGCAAACAAAGAAGGAAGAAAAAGGAGGGAAGAACTGTTCCTTATCACTAGAATTACAGCTCCACTCTCACCCTGCAACTCCAGTCTTCACATTGCTTTAAAACTGGGTGCGAACAAAGCGCAAAGACCTGTACTTCTGCTGAATGGAATGGAGTGCACGATGGCTGAGAAACACCTTAGGCAGAATATTCTGGGCACCACTGCTACAGCCAGATAAGCTTGTCTGACATCCTGTTCTGCGTTTTGCACTCTGTTCTTCGAGGTGCTTGTCATCGAAAGCTGCCATGCACAGGACTGTGGGAGAATAATGCAACTGGAGAGATTTATAGGAAGTGTTAGTTGGGCATTACACTTTAGAGCTGAGGAAGGTTGGAGGCTGATGTGGAACTCAGTGACACATGAAATAATTAGGTATTCTCAGTCAATGTCTGAATTGTACTTGTGTAGATCAAACCCATTAATTAAATAATCCCTCAATGGTGAGTTTGTTTTTTCTATTTCCTTACATATATTTGATAAACTAGACCTCCATCAGTAAGAGAAAGCACAAAAGCCTTTGTTGTTACAAATACGAACAGAACCTACACCTATCTGGGGTTTGCAAAATGGAGAAATCAAATCTTGTTTTCTGACTTTCGCATCTAGTTGCGGCTTGTTTATTAATAGGCCTCCTCCTGCCCTGCAGAAGACAATTCTTCATTGAATTTAAGTAGGAGTTTCTGGTTTTTTGTTTGGTTGGATTTGGTTTGGTTTTGTTTTGGTTTCGTTTTGAGACAGGGTCTTGCTATGTATTCCAGGCTGGTCTTGAACTCTCTGTGATCCTTCTGCCTCTGCCTCCTGAATGTTGGCTTTATAGGCATGTGCCATCATGCTCAGTTTAGCTGCCGATTTCAATTTACATTTTGCTGCTTTTATTTATAGGAAACCTGAAAGTATTTAGGCACTTTCTTCAGCTGCATGGAGAGCATGAGTTGACTTATGTACAAGCAGCAGCAAATAGACCCTTTATTATCTAAGAGCAGGATAGAAAAATTAAGGGTCCTGAAAGGACATCAACACAATAAGAAATGTTTTCCAGATGTAACAGAGTATTGGACAGTCTCCTCATGGGAAAATGCCCTTGCTAAAGATCAGTTGACACAACAGATAAACTTTCTGCTTACTGTTTTCAGTCATTATTTTGTAAAACCTCGGCTGGCTGAACAGCACTTTTCATTCAACCATATTGTAACTGCAGCAGCAAGACCATCTTGTTCTAGCAGATCTGATCAGATCTGGAAACCACTTCACTGAACCGGGCTGCGATCTCTGTAGGGATTTGGAAAATGACGCTAATGATTATGCCTCCATTACCCACCTAGACACGCCCAGGAGTGTTTTATTAATCTCCTGCACAGTTCTCAAGTCGATCAAGTTAACAGCACAGTTGAACTCTCACACTGCATCTCTTTTTTAAAGGAAATAATATGTGAGTAAAATCAGACTGAGATGACCAGGAAGAATAATTTTTCAGTACTTAAATAATAAATGCTCTATTTTACTTGCATGATTTTTTTTCAGCTGATAATCCTAGAACAAAATTCCTGACATCTATTAATGCATCATTATGTGGAAAAAAGTTATACCTCCAAGAAAGGATGAGAAAGAGAAGTCATACTGTGATCATAGAAGCTGCAGTAATTTTATGCATCTGCTTATACAGAAAAGTGCATGATTGGATGCTATGTTAATACAGAATATAGCCTAACATCACATCTCATCTTACTGTTATCTATGTAGGCCTGAAAAATTAAATTATTTGTGCCTCATATGATTATTATAAATAGTAAGTGAACTAAGGCTCATAAATAACTTATAATAGAAAGTGGCAAACGTAAGGACTCAATGAAATTAATTCTTACATCAGCCAAACTTATTATTGTAGAAAATAAGTCATAGCTCAGATTAATTTTCCTTTGTAAGTCTTTGTCTAGTGACTAAAATGTCTCATATATTTTTTCCCTTATTATGAGTGCTAATGGTTTTTATTGAATATATTTTTTATTTGGACCTCCTTTTTTGCGTTATAGTTTTTTCTTTCTTTGGTACCTGGGATTGAACTTGGGTCCTTGTGCTTGTGAGGCAGGCAGTGGAACCACTGAGCTAAATCCCCAGCCCTTTGTGTTATAGTTTTATGTTTCCGTTCTTTGACCTTGAACATTTTCCCCAACACACACACACACACACACACACACACACAAACACACACATATATTACATTTTATATTTGGTCATGATGATTATAATGATAACGATGATGGCAGTAGAGATGACAGAATTGTCAAAAGCCTGTAGCCAAAGTATCAGATCCCAAAGCCGAGCTGAAAGTCACAGTTTGAGGCGGTGGAACATGCGGACAATGGCTCTGCGGATCTCCTTTGTCTTGGCACTGTAAATGAGTGGATTTAGCACAGGAGGCACAAAGAGGTAGATATTGGACATGAGGATATGGATGTAATGTGGGATGTGCTTCCCAAAGCGATGCACTGTGGAGACCCCAATCATTGGTACATAAAACGCAAGCACAGCTAAGATATGGGAAACACAAGTGTTGAGTGCTTTGAGGCGTTCCTCATGGGAGGCAATGGCCAGAACAGAATGCAGAATGAGCACATAGGAGAGGAAGATAAAGAACAGGTCCATGCCAAAAGTGGATACAAGAACAAAGAGTCCATAGATGCTGTTGATAGTGATATCAGCGCAGGCGAGCTTCATCATATCTGGGTGCAGACAGTAGGAGTGGGAAAGAACATTGGATCTGCAGATAGGAAGCCTCTTGATGAGGAAGGGAAGAGGGAAGAGGGTTATAATGCTCCGAGCAGTGACTGCTAAGCCCATCCCAGCAATGACTTCATTGGTGAGCACAGTAGCATAACGCAATGGGTCACAAATGGCCACATAGCGGTCGAGGCTCATGACCAGCAGGATACCTGACTCCATCATGGAGAAAGAGTGAATGAGAAACATCTGGATTAGGCAGGCATCAAAAACAATGTTTGGAGCATTGAGGCAGAAGGTTCTGAATACAGTGGGCAGTGTGGCCATGGCCATGGTCATGTCACTGAAGGATAACATGGACAGGAAGTAGTACATGGGTGCATGGAGGCTGGGCTCTGTTCCCACAGTCAGCAGCACCACTATGTTTCCCCCAAGGGCCACTGCATACATCACACAGAGAGGACCTGCCAGCCAGGGATGTGAGCTCTCCAGACCAGGGATTCCAGTCAGCAGGAAGGAAGCAGGGCGAGTGACATTGAACAACCCCATGCCAGCAAGAATCCAGGGCACTTCTCAGGGTCAGATGTTCTGACTTGAAAAACTCTGACCAACGTTTTTATTGGAGAACAAGAAACTGGGCAGTGGGGGATAAAACCGATGAAGCCTCCACAATTGGGATCTGATGCAGTTATGAAATCAAGACTTTTGGGATAAGCCAGGCAAAATTCCTTTCTTCATTTTTTATGATTGTCAGATCACAGGCTGGCCTGATTTTTCTCCTATGGAAAAAGAAAGACAATGCCTAATAATTCAACAATACAAATAACTATGAGGAAAATATTTCCACCACATTATTTCCATCTTTTATGTATTTTAGAATCATTATAAGTAGAAATGCATTATTTGCAGACAGATGTTATAGAAAGAAATCAGGAGTTGAAGTCATCAGTAAGTGTTGGAAGTGTTTAATCCCTCCAAAGTGTCATTTAATTTGATATGTCATGAATTAATGAGAGAATTTTCCATTTGAATAAGAATGATGCTTGAGTAGCAAGGACAAGGGACACTGGGGTGTGGAGGGAGTCAGCCACCTCCGTATGTTACCTTCCACTGGCAGAATTGCAAAAGATGGCAATACAAACAACAAAAAATATATTTGCAAAGTCTCAAAGCTTGTTCCCATTTTGGAAAAATCGGGCATCCTATATATCCTGTAGTACAGGACCATTCAGTCTGTAGGAGAGCTTTTCCTCCCACCCAGTGCACAGTCACACATGTTGTCACAATGGCCAGTGTTCACAGACCCATTCATGCTCCTTGACGCCAGCCTCACACTGGATTTCACTTTCCTCAAAACACTCTCCCACGGGGATTCTCTGTCTCATACCATTTCTTACTGTGCCCATGTACTTACATGCAGTTTCTTCACCTTCACTTTTTATGTGCACAGGCCTGTCATACTCATAACTGTCAGTCTACAGTGACATATATGCTGAACTCTTATGTCAACACTCTCAGGGTGCCCGTGATGTGTACACTCACAAACACTTCTCCCTGCGTGCTCGCAGCTTGCCTGTGACCTTAACGCACTTACTCTAGTAGGAACTTTGTTTTTTTAAGACCTCGTGTACTGTATTTAATCACAGTTTTTCTCTGTGACACTCGTGTGTCACAGAATTCTTATAGCCATTTCACTCTAAAGCAATTACATAATTTATTCTCCTGTCACACAGATGTTTTTGGAAGATTCTCATGTTCCTGGCCTTGCGGTAGACACACATAGGGAGAGCTAAAAGATTGTCCTCCTAGCAGATGTATTCAGGCATAAAGTGCGGCTTCCTTTGGAAAGACACATGTAAAAAACAAGTACATAATAGAGATGCAGACCACTGTCTTTCTCCTTCCTCCCTAAACTCTAAAAAGCAATGTCAGAACATCTTTCAAAATCCTTTCTGGTGGGAGTGGATAGGGAAGTGATTCTGGGTTACATAGGTATCTAAAGAGACAAGATATAATGGAATGGTATGCTATGTGTCATTGTCACTTTAGGAGGCATTCTTAGAATTTCCCAGCATTCCTAGAATTTCCTAGGCAAGACCCACTCATAGGTCCTGTGTTTTCCCACGAGGCAGTGGCCACCCTTCGTTCTGTGTTTGCATTGACTTCAAAACTTCTGGGGCTATAGCTCTGTACATACCCAATTCCTTCAGAATTGTGATTCTTTGTGATCTAGGACTAGTCAACCTGACTTACTTCTTATTTCTCCCAGCTGGGTACCTTCACATTCCTTATAAAGAACCATACAGAAAAGAAGGTGATTATTAAACAGAAAAGAACTAGACTAATTAATATGAAGGAAACAGAAAGAGAAGGGAGAGAGGTCTCCTATCAGGATTCTGTGCAAGGAAGGGCCAAGTTTATTCTGCATCTGAGGGTGTAAATTTTAGAATTTTAGGAAAAAGGGATGCCTGATAGTCCTAGGATCCCATTCCTCCCCACATGTTGGTATCACTAATACTGTGGGTTGTTGGAATGTTTGTGAACAAAGGACTAAGAGATGGAAAACAAATACTTTCTTGACAGATGCAGAAACTGTGGCTCAATGAGATTAGTTTGCCTTATAGCTCATTGTGTCTAGGTGGAAAACCCCATATTTGCATCATTTTCTGTAGACACACATCTGATTTACATAGTTCTTTGAGGCATCATGAAGGCACTGGAACGCAGATACCAAGGAAGATAGAAGTGTGCATTTCTGGATGGAGGTTTCTCAGGTATTTCTGAACAATGGTCCCACTCAAGGAGTGGCTCAAGGTACATAACTATGACAAAAATGATGCAAAAAGTACATACACCAAGGCTGGAGTCAGTTTCCTCTTTTCCTGGAACTCGAAACACTTATGTTTTTGAAGCCATATAGGAGAGAGGGTGGTTTAAGGGGAGGGTCCAGGGATGGGGCTGGAGAAGTGCTGGGTTTTATCCTGCTTCTGTATCTTTGAAGCTGGAGAAATCCACTTTTTTTTTGAAGCTGTATCTTCCCTAAGACACTTTTCAAAAAATGGCCAAGGTTCTTTATGGCATGGATAGGCTTTCATTGTGTTTTACCTTTTAATGTTCCATCAAGCAATTATCAGAGTTTTCCAGGATGAAGAATGGAATAAAAAAATCAAGTACAGGTTGTATGTAGAGTAGAAAGGTTTGTCTAAAGATCACTGTTTTCAACTTATACCATAGATATGGTTAGCTATTCATGGTTCATACAAATCCATGATTAGCTGATAGCTCTTATTCTTTTACTGTCCAGGGGACTTTGCGTACTTTTCATTGCAGAATTCATGACCCAAGAATAGTAAAGAGCATAGTTCCTCTGCTGTTAGTTTGAATCAGGAGTGCCTATACCTTTTCTGAGTCCTGAGTCCTGCTCCCCCCGAATTCTAGCAATATTAATGAATCATAGAAGCTTCAATTTTTCAAGCTTGTTTTCCCAGAGGAATTGAGAATGGCAAGTGACAGATGATCTAAGGAATTACACTGCATTTCTTTTGTGCCAAAAGAAGAATCCCAAGTCCAAGGACCTTCCTATCTATTCTCATGCTACTAAGATGCTGCTGTCTAATACTCCCCACCTGCTCTCTACCTGACTTTCTTGGAACAGCCTTGGAGAAATCAGCCCATAGGCTTTTAAGACTCACCAACAGATAACGGATGAGGGACACCCTCAGAGCTTCATGTCCTTCTACCCATTAAAGTATATTCATGCCTGCCACTTTTATATATTACTCTAAGCCCTAGAGACAGAGATAATACTGATGCTGATTTTGTGTTTGAAAATTCTGGTGGGAAGTTTCAGTCTCCTGAGATCTTTAATAATTGCTGCCAACAAATTGTATGCTCTTTTAGGCAAAAATAAACCAGCAGCTTGGAGACCAATTTTCTACCCAAAATTATCATATGAAATTATGTGGAGACAGGTAGGCAGACAGTATGAAAGAGGAGCTCATTAGCTCCTAAAAGAGCACAGGTTTTTTGTAACATGTAAAATATAAAGTCAACAAATGAGATGCAACCACAGAACCATGAATTTTATTCTTGTCCTTTTAAATAGAGTGAGTGAGTCTAGGTCTTTTTAATCCTCAATTAAAACTCAATTATGAACATTTCCTGTCCACATTGAGATAATAAAATTAACTCTCGTGAGTGATTGGAATACTTCACACAAGCGTTTGACTGCCCCACAACAAGAAGCACAGCCTCCCCTTCTCCCACTCATCACCCTTGCTAGCTGTGGTTTCCGGCTTCTTCTCCAGGATGAAAGGGATGTGGGCGTCCATACTGCAGTGGTGCTGAAGTCAGCTCTGTTATGGTCAGTGGTCTATTCAATATTTAGAAAAGGCGCTCAACTTTCTGTGCTTTGTTTTTTTTTTTTTTTTGGGGGGGGGTACCGGGGATCGAACTTGGGTCCTTGCGCTTGCGAGGCAGGCCACCGAACCACTGAGCTAAATCCCTGGCCCGCCTTTCTATGCTGTGAAAGTGATAATTCAAAAAAAGCTTCACTTCATCCTTTTCTTGTCCTCTCCTTATTTCCATGAATGAATCTGTGCTCTCCATGGTTGTTAATGACTCCATCCACAACTTAGGTTCTCTTTTAGAGCCATATACTCTTTTGGACAGGACTACATAATGTACCATGTAGCGCTCTCCAGAAGGTAACTCATTTAGGAGCCAGAAAGTGTTCCTTTGTCAAAACGAATGTTCTCCTCTCACACAGCAATCATTCCTCATTCAATTCTGCTATCAAAGAAAGACAAAAAGTGTCATCAGTTTTAGATTTTATTCGTTTAGATTTAATATGCTCTAAAGTGCATTATATTTAGTGATTTTTAATTCACATACGAGTCATAGTGTAACTCATGGGGAAAAACAGTGCTCTGTTATGGTCCAATCAGAATATAAAGACCCCAAATTACTATAAATAAGAAAACTGAAAGAACATTATTGTTGACCAAGTGGGCGCACAAGACAAAGGGAATACAAAAGTATCACTGAGTAGAGCAACTTCAGAAAGTAGCTCTAACTCTAGGGCTGGATAAGCAAAGAGAAAGACTTGGAATTATTAAATCTTACAAGCTTGAAAGAGTAATGCTGCAAAAACATTAAATCAAACATTTGAGGAGTGCATAATTTTTGTCCAAGTCTATATTTATTTATTTATTTATATTTATTTTTATTTTAATTAAATTATTGGTACATTTTAGGTATACATTGCACTTACATCCATCACTGAGATTTCGTATCTTTACATGACTTATCTTGGTTCTTATTTTTCCCTATCCCTAGCCCTCACTTCACCCCCACCACCCTTCTCTATTTACAAAGATTTTGTTTCCATTTTTTCCTTTTCTCATATTTTTTCTTTTCCTTTATTTCTTTTCCCCTGAACCCTTCCCACTTCCCCTACTCCTTTAGGCCTTTTCTTCCTATTTCATATTATCAATTATACAATTTTAACCTTATTTACATTTTAATTTTTCATACCAGAGAAACTATTAGGTATTTACATGTGTGTAAAATATTTTTACCAGATACTCCTCAGACAAAGGACTACTATCTAGAATATATAAAGAACTGAAATAAATCAGAATTTTTGAGTGTATATCTTGTATCCAGCTACTCTACTGAATCTGTTAATTAAGTCTAGAAGTCATGTTCTTTGGAAAAATTGTTTGGGTCTTCTACGTAGAGTATCATATAGCCAGCAAATAATGACAGTTTAACTTCTTCCTTTCCTATCTTTATTGCTTTTATTTCTTTCTCTTGTCTAATTGCTGTAGCTAATATTTCTAAAACTACATTGAACAGAAGTGTTGACAGTGTACATCTTTGTCTTGTTTCTGATTTTAGCATGAAGGTTTTTAGTTTTTGACCAGTTAGTATGATGTTGGCTGTTAGTTTTTCATAGATAGTCTTTATCAAGTTAAGATAGAGATCATCTATTCTAATTTTTGTACATTTAAAAAAAATCATGAATGGGTGTTGAATTCTCTTTCTACATCTATTGAGATGATTATATGGTTTTCATCCTTGCCTCTGTTAATATAGTGTATTACATTTATTGATTTACACTTGTTGAATCATCCTTGCATCCCTGGGATGAATCCCACTTGTTCAGTGTGTATGATCTTCTTTATGACCCTCTGTATTCTGTTTGCCAGTATCTTACTGAGGATTTCTGCATTCATGTTCATTAGGGAGATTGCCCTGTAGTTCTCTTTTTTGTATAGTGGAATTTATTTATTTATTTTTTTGATTCTGGGATTTGAACTCAGGTCCTTGTGCTTGAGAGGAAGACAGTGGAAACACTGAGCTAAATCCCTGGCCCTGTAGTTCTCTTTTTTGGTTGATTCTTTCCCTGTTTTGGAATCAAAGTAACACTTGTTTCCAGGAATGAATTTGGAAGTATTGCTCCCTTTTAATTTCTTTTTTTTTTGACAAGTAACATAACTTTTATTTGCATTTATTTTATGCTTAATTTATTCCCATGCCATAAGGTTTTGTTTCTTCAGTTTCTTCTGGAATATCTTTTTCTTTTGTGCAACTTCCTACTCTGGTTCAGGGACAATATGTTCCTTTTCAGTAAGGATCATCTCAATATGGCAGGAGGAGCTCATGTATGGGTTAATCTGACCATGAGCTGTATAAGTACAGTGGCTCATTTTGGGTGCTTTGCAAACCTGGATAAATTCAATGACCAAGATAACCATGATAAACTCAATGATCTGCATCTAAACCCTTAACCTCAGAATTACTCTCTGCATTTTTAAGCATGTGCAGCAAAAATTCAGCACTCTTTTTGGGCCATTGGCCTTGTTTCCAGCCCCACTGTTTGGCCTGGGCACACCTATGAACTCCACCATTATAACACTGGAGTGGCACACATCGCTTTTTCAGACACTTGGTGGCCTTTCAGATATGCATAACCTTGATGGCCTGGGGAGTTTCACGGGTGTTCTTAAAGTGAACACGAAGATTTAAGCCTCTTGATTTGCATGATTTTGTGGGGTTTTCTGGGTCAAGAGAGTAGTGAACCATTTTCAAAGGTCACCTCTGGCTGCTTATAGGAAGAATCTTCCCTTTCAATTTCATTGCAAAGTTTAAAGAGTAGTGGCAATAGTTTTTCTAGATTTTTTTTCCTCATTGAGTGTATTCATATATTTTAGGTATACAGTACAGTTATATTCATTATTGGGATCTTGTACCTTTACATGACAGGTCTTGGTTCTCACTTTTTCCCCTTCTCTAGATGTTTTATAGAATTCAGCAGTGAAGTCATCAGGACCTGGGCTTTACTTTGTTGGTAAGTTTTTAATTACATTTTCAATTTCACTGATTGTAATTGAGGTATTTAGAATTTGTATATCTTCCTCATTCTGCTTTGATAATTCATATGTGTCTGGAAATCTGTTGATTTCTTCTGTGTTCTCCATTTTATTA